ATGGCACCGGATACCGGTACCCATCCCTATCTGGATGTCTAATCTAGCTGGCTCCATAACATTTCCTTGAACATTTTCTTGAACAGGTTTTCTGCACATCTCCAAGTCAGCACACAGGGAAGACAGAGGTAAGACTGAAAACCAGATCTGAACTGCAAAAGAACTTTATACTGAGAGTCAGGGTTGTTGAGGAGGAGCTCTGGGCAACGTTACTTATCTTACTTTAAATATGAGTATGAGTACGCTTATTTATCCCAAAGTTGGCCAATCTTTATAACATAAATATTCATAAACATAAATAAGTAAAATGACTGTAAGTAGAGCAAATTAAGGAAAAGTTCAACAGGTTTCTGAACTCTGTGTTTTTTCAGTCTCCACCCAGTCACTCAGAGGAAGATGAAGAGCTTAACTATGCTAGTGTCCGATTCTCAACGAACCAGCCTGATCCCATTTATTACAACATCCGATCGGCTGGATCCCGCAGACAAAAGGTGAAGGAGGAGGATGAGCATGTAGAGTACGCTGCAGTCAACTTCAGTTCTGCCCCGAGGTAACCAGCACTAAGAATTTCAGTTGTATAGATGCATGCATCCATGTAAGGAAATCCAAGAACGTAACATTTACAGTGGGAAAAACATTTCATCCAACTGACTTCGTAGCCTGAGCATAACCGCTGTGGACTTTAGTGATTCTCTGACCGACCTGGCCTGCTGCTTTATACACTAGAAACATGAACTTGGGCACACATATTGCAGCACGCCTCCTTCATCCGTCCTATTTCTTTTTTCTCCAGAACTGTACACCAGGACAGAGAGGAGGATCCGTCTGAATTGTACAGCACAGTGAAGAAAATCTGATAAAAGCAAAAGGAAGCCGAACTGTGGACCATTCTTTAATTGTCATTTGCTAATAGAGCTACTGGACAGTAGATATGATTCTACAATATAATTTTGGTCAGGCGTTCATTGTCCCCTGAGGGTAACCGCTGTGGACTTGATTGTCTGATTTCATCTGAAGTTTTGTACTACACCTCTACTTTCAACTTCAACTGATATTTCTTCAAAAGAGTGTCCAGATGTTTGGGGAGTTGAGGTTATTTTGTCATTTTCTTTGAAACTACCTGTTCAACACTGGAAAAAACAACAAGTCCATTCAAGATTTTTCAGGTTCATAAAGTTTGGTACAAACATTCAGGTTATCTATTGCTGTCTATTGCCAAAATTTAGTGCAAACCTTCATGTCCACCTTCTGATTCACCATCAGGCAAAAAATTCATCTCACACGTTTGTTGGAAGTCATGTATACTTGACTAAAATGTATATTTCTTTTAGTTTCATGAGACATAGGAAATGTTTTTGCACTGCAGCACTGTATGTAATAGCTAATACATGGTAAGCTTGTATTTATTAATATTATTAATATTATTGTTGTTGTAATACATCAGTATGCTGAGTTAAAGAGCACTGAGTTTTTGGAAAAGAAGATGCGTCCTGTTTCCACTCAATAGTAGTACAGAATAATATTTTACACATTTTCCACAATTCACTTTAGTTCTGTCTGTTTTATATTTTGTCTGCATCATTCCTGCTCTCAGTTGTTTAATTGTAATTTGCTTAAAGTAAAACCATCATTATTTAAAAGAACTCTTCTGTTTCCTGTTGTTAACTCTGATGGCGGTTTTGAATGTTGTTTTAAATGCATTTTTTTCACACTGATTGTTTATAACATGCTTGACAAATAGAATAATCTTTACATCTGAGTTACCGAGTTAATGTTTTTGTGTCAGATATTTCTGTTTCAAAGCATTTCTTGTGTTATTTCTTGTACTATATTGTAACCATGTGCCTTTGCGTGCTCATGTTAGTTTTACTTCATCTGTTAGCTTATGTATTTTGTATATGGTGGTGCAGTGGTTAGCACTGTGTACTCTGGCTTCCTCCCACAGTCTAAACACATGCAGTAAGCAGGGTTAGGTTAACTGGTGATTTGAAATTGCTCATAGGTGTGAGTGGTTGTTTATCTCTCTGTATTAGCCCTGCTGGCGACCTGTTCAGGGTGCACCCTGATAAGGGTAAGAGGATGGATGGATGTTAGTTTTCTGTCATTGTTGTTGACCGTCCTGAATAGTTTGTTGCTGAATAGTCAGCTCCATCAGATCATCACTTACCCCAGTACTTCCTTGCCACACTTTGTTTCTTAACTTGTCGTCATTTTTCATTTTTATCTTCCATGTCTAGAGGTTGTTTTTGTGTCTGTGACAGAGGTTTTTTTTCTTTCTTTTTCTTTTGTTCATTGTTCTGCTGCATGATCACCAGTACGTGACCACTTCCTGGATTTGACTAAAGGTTTGGAACCACACCTGTTCAAGTAGCTGGAACAGTAGATAAATAAGAATTCGGGGGAAGTCTAATGTCAAACCCATGTGTTATGCAAATGAATAACAGATAGATTTCAGTACACCTATTAGTAATGCAGCACATTGTTAAAGGGCATAGGGCCAAGTATAGAGTCACAGATTCATTTTTTCTAGTTGTGAAACTATGTAAATACAAATCTAACAAGACGTTTCCTGTACAAAAAAGGCAAGAAAAGAAATGTTATGAAGCTTGCATCTCTTACCAAGTTGCCTTTTCTTGCCTTTTACTGGCACGTTGTTTATTCTGCAGAGAGGTAAAGAGGAAGGATTTAGCAACATCTTAATCTCTTTGAGTGTTTGGAGTGAGTAATCATTTGTTCACTGTTTACTTTTAACTTCTTGTATTGTCACTAAAATCAGAGAAAGCAGCTGTAAGTCTGACAGCAGCAGAGAGTGGATGTATTGTTCTTGTCCTCTTAGTGTCACGTCAGTCCATCCATATTTACACTGAAGAGCACTTAGCCTTGTTATTCACAGCTGGTTTAATGTAGATTACAAAAATGAACCAGCCCCGTTCTATGATGACTGCTGAGCAGGTGTGTGTCTATGCATTACCGCCTCTTTCATGTATCATTACAGATTTTGTTTAATTAAATATTTCATTCAAACTGTTTATATATATGTGTGTGTGTGAGTGTGTGTGTGTTCACAATAACATCAGGAGCCAAACACTAATCAAAACACAACAGCAATCACAAATACAAATGAAAATGCAATCAGATGCATCCCACAGTGGAATTAATTCTTGTATTATGAAGATAAAAGTATTAAAATAAGCGTCGGTGGAGAGTTTTCTACAGTCACTGGTTTTACTGCAGGCCTGTGCATGTTATCATGTCTGTGGTCTTATTGAAAGTTGCACAAACAAGTTACAAATCACTTCCTGTCAAGAATGTTGCTCTGCTTGCATCAGTTTTCTTCTTTCACCACAACGGACATGACATGTTTCTAAGTCACACATCAAGCATGTCTCATTACTATCTTGTTAATCTTCCTTTTCAATCTTGTTGTTATTCATCTGTCACAAATTACTTCACCCACTTCACCCACTTCACCCACTCCACCCGGCTTGCACTCGCTTCTTCATCTCTCTTGTGCACTGTTCATTTCATGGCTGACCCCAGGTGTTCATATTCATCCACCTTCACTAGTGCTTTTGTGGTCCTTGCACGTTCACCTTTCCACCCGTCTCCCTCTCATTTATACATGTATTTTGTCTTGTCTCCACTGGCTTTGATTCCTTTTCTCAAACCACCAGCATTAGGGCCGGGATAGCTCAGTAGGTAGAGTGGTCGTCCCTGTGATCGGAAAGTTGGGGGTTCGAATCCACTGAGCGGCTACCCTGAGGTACCCATGAGCAAGGTACCATCCCTACACACTGCCCATTGGCTGCCCACGGCTCCACTGAGTGAATGGGTCAAATGCAGAGAAAGTAATTTCCCCATGGGGGATCAGTAAAGTATACATTGTTATTCTTCTGCATTTGTCTCCTTAATATCATACCTAACCAACACCACCTCGTCTCCTCTGTTCCCTTCCCCCTACCTGTCCATTGAAGTCTGCTCCAATCACCAATCGCTCCTTCTCTGGGGTCACGAGCTCAGTAAAGTTTCCCAAGGAAAGTGGGAAAATATCCAGGTAGAACTTGCTGAGGTACATATGACCATATTTGCAGCATATCTATATGTTTGAGTCTGTGTGGATTACCGAAATTCCTAAATAATTCAAGCTGGTCCACTCGTTTCTCATGTGTTTATTTTTTATGTCATTAAAGATGTTTGCCATACAAACAATCCACCATTGAAAAAGAAAAAAAGTTGGACCAGTACTCAACTTTTATCTCTCAAAAGTCTTATTCTCACACACACACACACACACACACACACACACACACACACACACTGCACTTGCTTGTCCTTTAAGATAAATTGATCTTGATCTGTGTTCAGCAGTGAGGCAACTTTAGAGGTGAAAATAACGTCATTATTCATGCGGTTATCTACCGAGTCAGAGCCAACAAGAAGAGCACTGAATCAAGAAATCATATAAATAGAATCTGTCAGACAAAGTGAAGTTACAAGATCAAAGAAGGTCAGAAACAATCTAAAGAAATTCAAGGACAGATTTAAAATACAATCATTCATATCTATCGGTTTGTTAAGCTTTACAAAGCTTAGGGTTTTGGGACTCAAGTGAACCACAGAGAGAACCATTATCTACACACAGAGAAAACTGGGAAGAGTGGTGAAACTTCCCAGGAGTTGCAGCCTAAAATGACTTCATGAGTGCACTGACTATTCATCCAGGAGATCATGAAAGACCCCAGAGCAACATCTGAAGAACTGCAGACATCATTTTCCTCTGTTATGGTCAGATTTCGTGGTTCAACAATAAGAAGGAGACTGAACAAAAATGGCATCCATGGCAGAGTTACAATCAGAAAACCACTGCCACAATGACTTGTCTCACATTTGCCCCAAAACATCTGACTCCAGGGAAAATATTGTGTGGACTGACGAGACAAAAGTTTAACTTTTTGGAAGGTTTGAATCCTGTGACATCTGGTGTCAAATTAAAAGCATGTTATAAATCAACATCATAAAAACAGTCAAACATGGTGGTGTTAGTGTGATGGTCTGGGCTGCTCTGCTGCTTTCTACCAGAAAATCCAGCCATCATTTTGTGCCTGAAAACACAAGCTAAGTTTGGTTATGTAGCAATGACCCAAAGCAGACCAGAAAGTGATGGCATAATGAAAGTCCAGACCTAAAGCCAATTAAAATGCTTTCGATTGGACTTATTGGCCATTCATGATCGTAAAAACTTCCAGTGTAGCTAAATTAAACAATTCTGCAAAGAAGGGTAAGCAAAAAAATTCCTCCACAGTAATGTGAAAAAACAGTTTATGGGGCAATTATGTTTTCAAATAGGGTCAGGTAGGTTTGAATAGCCTTTTTTCCCCTTAATAAAAACACAATTTTAAAAAATGCATTTTATAATTACGTGTATTTTCTTTGTCCAGCATCAAAATTAAGTTGATCTCAAACATGTAAGTGCGACAAATATGCAAAACAAAGAATAATTACACATCTCTCTCTGCGGTTTATACTTCTTCATTCTTGTTCAAAGTTATGGTAACTGGCAAGACTCTCACTTCCCTTTTCACAGAGAAAACTAAATATAGATTGAAAGACTTTATCAGGGCTACACAGTAAGTTGCGCATACAAAATTATTTCCTTTTTATTGGCCACAAAATAGTGTGCAACAGCCGCCCTGACACCTCTACAGCCTGCAGGCGTTGACCGACAGTTCGTTGGCAGTGTCGCTTAGACTCCTGCATTTAGCTTGCAGGCTGGGGTGGCTGCACTCTGCAGGTGAAGGCCAGCGCTCCACCCAGGTGTCCTTCCCCAACATGTAGATGAACCTGACACACAAGATGAAAAAAGAAAGAAAGACAGATGGCAAGTTAACAAGTAAGAGCACCCAAGTGTCTCATAGTAAACTTGTCCTGTCATAGTTCCCAATTTGAATCAACACAACATTATTTGTAAGCATTTATTTTTCCTGTTCTGCTCACTTGTTGGTTTCAGTATCAACGTTCCACTGGTCCTCCTTGGGGCCAATGATGAGGTATTGGGAGCCCTGCTTCAAGTCTAGTCCATCTCTGCAACCTCCGTGAGACATGAAGATCCTCGTCTGACCCGCTCCAACTCCACCCTCCAGACCTGAGTGGGAGAAGAACAAAAATAATAAGCCTTCATTTGTCTTTGAGTTACAAGAATGCACAAGCAGCACTTCATAAATGGGGTCACCAAATAATGAAAAAGTTAACTGGACCACATCATTCCTCCATTGCTCGCACTGAAAAGACTGAGAGGTGAAAGCCAGTCACTACCAGGACTCACCCAGTTTGATAACTTGCGTGATCTCCATCTCATATTTGTCGTAGTAACTCTGGATGACATTCAGCACCTTCACCTGGAAAACTAAAACACAGTAGCAACCAAACCTGAGCATCATGAGCAAATTACTCTAAAATTAATCGGACTCTTAAATGGGTGAGGCACTGTTTCCATATATTAATAGTAACTGTTTCCACGACGAAATAATAATAGCATTACTAACAAAAGGGGGCGGTGACAGTTTCCCACCCTTTTCCAGTAAGATACTAAACTGAAATTCTGTATGATGCCCTGGGGAGTTGCCATATGAGCGATTCATGGTCCACATGGTAAATGAGAGAAAAATAAAACAGGATAGCAATAGTGCCATCAGCTAAACTTTCTTCACAATGTTTTAAATATTACAGTTTCTGTGAATGCTCACATTATGCTTCCATTTATTACTCAAACAACATATTATTTGTTCCTACTCTAACAGCTGATGCTCTGCAGGGCTTATGTCATTGTTACTGCTTGAATAAGGGCGTTTCATGTGGCTTCTTTTATTTCTATAAATATTAAAATCTTAATGTCTTCATCTAGCGGCAGTTTTGACAACTTACATCTGAATATTTTTAAATCATTTGAATGGCAGTCAGCCAATGAACATGCAAAAGTGTAAACCTCCAGTGTGCAGGGATGCATGTTAAAGCCGCCGGAGTGTAAAAGCACATGTACCATGGTGTAAGCTCTTGCAAGCAAACGTCTCTCTTTCTTTGCTGAGGAAGTTTTCACTGTCCGCTTTGGAAATGCAGCAGTCACCTGGAGGTTTTGAAACCACAGGAGGTCAAACGTGCAGAGGTGGAAAAAAAATACACACATCCTTTAATGCATTGTTGCAAATCCCATACTTTACCCTGTGTGCAGCGGCAGACGTTGTTTCTGCAGATCTGGCTGAGCTGCTCCTTGTTCTCACGCGGGGTGTAAGTACGACTGCAGCGGCGGTCTGTGACAAAGTGAGAGGAGAGAAATCTAAAAGCTTTAATATTATTATTATTATTTATTTATCTTGGTTTTATGCGAAATATAAGGATGCAGTACAACTTGGCCACTTGGTTGGCCGCTCTCAGCCATGCAACATATGGTCACCTGCTCATCCCAGTGAGCTAAACTGGCGTTCCTTTTATAAGTATTTCTTATAATACTGTATCGCAGAATCTCTGATTTTTATGTCTACAGCTGTATTTCCCAACCTGGGTTGTAATACTCGTAAACAGTCACTGAGGATGGCTGCAGGAGGCCAACTTTGAAGGTCTGCTGGAGTCTGAATATTAGGATCTCAGGCTCTTTGTGAGAAACCTACAAAGAGAAACAATGCAGAGCAGGGGGGATGTTATAAGACATACTTCCTAAAAACGGTACATAAAACTGACTTAAACTGGACAGATTTTAACTCCTCATACTCTTTCTTCCTGTAATCCAATAAATGAGACAGTGGTCTACAGCACAGTTACCTTAAACAGGTGGATGATCAGGGATCCCCTGTCACTCAGGTTATCTACTATCTGGAAGTTATTGATGTAATGATCCACTGAGTTGGACAACTAGAGACAAACATGTTCAGAATTTATTAGTTCAATTTAAACAGAAATAAAATGCTGCCGTGTAGAAAACATTCTATAAAATTATATTTAAAGTGTAAATTCACAATGCAAAGCTGTATTTATTACCGAAATATGTTAAACCCATTACAGCCTCAGGTGATGCAGGGGTCAAACAAGTGAGCTGAGGTGTGCTTTTTGGTGTGATACTGATAAATTACAGTAAAGAAAATTGAGCATGCAGCTTAACTTTTTCACAACACGCACAGAAAAAAGTTTGAATAAAACAAAATAAAATAGATGTAAAATAAATTCAGGTTTACTTTGTGTAAGAAAGCTAAAACTAAACTTGGATCATTTCTTAGCCATGAAAGCTTTGTTTCAGATTTTTGAAGCACTGGCCTAGAGGCTGATTACCATCTCCAGGTCTGAGTTTTCTGGGGTGAAGCCAGTGGGCAAACTGATGTCAAGAACCACCATCCTGACATCTCTGGGTCCTAAAGCCCTGTGAAAGAAAAACAGAAAGCACCGACAAAGGATATGAAATCTAAATCTGAAAGCCCTGGATCAATAACTCACATTCAGTGGACCAAACGTTCAAAGAAAATTTATTACGGTCAGACAGACTCACACATTTGGCAGTTTTTGTTTAAAAATGTGGTCGTCCCATATTAAAAAGTTGACTGTTTTTGCTGTTTGCTACACTTTGTATGAAGTAAAAGATATAAAAACACATACTTTTTTTTCTTATTCTCTAAAATTTAGCAAGTAATTGTATCTTACCTCACTTTGATGGTGATCTGATAGGACTTTTCTACATCTGCTGGAGGCTTTTCTGTTATGACATGGAGGAAAAGTGTTATTAAATACGTAATCCATAAAGCTTGCTGAAGATACTTGGTGTGTATATGTATTGATAGTTTTTTATGTATATGTTTTTCATATTACAGTTGCTGTCTTTTCTACTGTTTTTTTAAAAAAATATCAGATATTTGATTTCACACTAGATGCCGTTCATGATTGAAACCTCCCATTTACTAGCACACTGGCTTTTACCTCCCAAGGTAGGGTTTGTGTCCCCTCCAGGTCTTGAACTGGGGATCTTTCATATGTAGAAAGTTTTAAAATTATTTTTTAAAAAGCCACATAAATGGTCCTCCTTGGGGCCTATGATGTTTGTATTAATGTACACACATCAGTATTTTAAATGGTATTTCAGCCATTCCCAAAATTAAGAATAGAGAGATTTTCAAAAATCTTCTCCAGCCCACGTACACCTTAAAATCAAACTCTGACCACACACCAGCCTGAGAGGAATTTCCTTCTTTGTTTTTATGTGAAACCTCGATCTGTTGATGACTGACTGTTTAAAGCTGATTCTCCAGTAACAGCTCTCTTTTTCCCACCTAAAAGCTACTGCACAATTTGAATTCTTTCTGTGCCAGTATTGACATATATAACATACACTCCAGATTCCATTAAAACATTAAACAAATAACATGTTTGTGTTATGGCAGGATTGTAGTTTACAGTTATTTAAGAAAAGTTACATTTGTATCTTTTGAACTATGTCCTGTTTTATCTCAAAATATCAAGGAAATGAAACGTGCTGAAAGGTATTTCATCATTGTTTGACCCTTATAATAACTTAAACCCTAACACCTTACAAGAACATAAATACAGCTGGTAAAATAAGTATTCTGCCCCAGGGCAGCTGTGGCTACAACTGTAGCTGCCTCCACCAGTGTGTGAATGTGAGAATGAATGAATAGTGGAATTGTAAAGTGCTTTGGGTGCCTTGAAAAGCGCTATAGAAATGCAATCCATTGTTATTATCATTATTATTATTTAATGTGTCACCATTTTTCCAAGTAAATATATTTCTAAAGGCACTATTGACATGAAATTATCGCCACATGTCAGTAACATCCCATCACACCAACTGACATGTATTTAATGCCTCGAACAAAATTCTTTGTTGGTGATGAGAGCTTCAAGACGCCTCCCACATGGACACCCTAGTCACATGCAGTGGTCAGGTGTGATTTGTTTCATTTTTCCACACAAACAGTCTTCAAATCCTGAGGTCTCTGTGGGCTCCTTCTCTGAACTCTGAACTCTTTCAGTAGATTTCTCAGCTGGATTCAGGTCAGGTGATTGGCTGAGAAACCAGCTGAGAGTTTCCATGGCTGTGTTTGGGATGATTGCCTTGCTGAAACATCCACCCTCGTTTCATCATCATAATCCTGGTGGAGGGCTGCAGATTTTTATCAACAGTGTTATAGTGCATGTTTCTGTAACATATTGGTCTAATGTTACCTGTATAATTCATCTCCTTGTTTGTTATGTGAAGTTGGCACTGGTTTCGTGTGGTTTTATGTGTCACATTTGCTGTGAGCCAATGGCTGTGATGGGGTTGGATTAATTGAAGGCCCACACTACAAACACTGCTGTGATATTTTGTCTCTGAGGTATGTTATATGGCCAGAACTAAGATGACTTGATTTAAATATGTTGATGGTGGATAGTTTGCTGCTCTGTGAATTGTTTAACGAAGATGGGGTGATATTGTGTGTCTGTGTGCAGGCCAGGACCTACTATATGCCACAGCCTAAAGGCAGAGTTGGGTTGCTGAGGTTGGAGTAATTACCAGCCTTCTTCTTACAGGGTGGGTCTTGAAGGACAACTACTAATCCCAGTTAAGTAGTTGGCATGTAAAGTGCAACTGACTTGTGCCATTGCAGGCTCACGCCTTCAACTGTGTGTTTTATACCTTTAGCAAGCGGGACGCTGGACTGTGTATCTCTTCATTTTTTTGATCACTGCACTAGTAAATTATGTCAGAATTGTATTAGTTGTCATCTTTTGCCCACAGCTGAGACAGCTGGTCAGACCTAGACTATGTCTGTGTTCGATTTCCATTCATCCTTCCTGAAATTACATGAAGTATGCCAGTGCCGTATGCTGAAAAACTGCCCACACCATGATGTTCCCAATTCAAACCTTCATTGTTGGTATGGTGCTTTTGGTGCTTTCTTTTTCCTCTGAAAATATGCAGTGCCCTTTGACCTCGTAACATTGTGTATTATGGTGTCAAAGGTCAGTTTTGCTTTTTCTTCAGAAATTGAGTGTTGCATGGTGAGCGTTCATACAGGCCATGGTGGTCGACCGATTTTCTTTTTTCTGTAGGTCTCTGTAAGTCCTCCTTGGATTTTAGACAACTCTTCTGAATTCTTTTCACTCCTCTGTGTGAAATCTTGCAGGGACGATCTGGTCCTGGCCGGTTTGTTGTGAAGTGGTGTTCTTCCCACTTCCACATTATGGCCCCAGCAGTGCTCACTGCATTCTTCAGTAGTTTAGAAATTCTTCTGTGACCCATGCCATCAGTATGTTTTCCAACAATAAGGTTGTGACAGCCTCATATTGTTTTAACGCATCATGAGATGTTTCTTGTGTGACACCTTGGTAACGAGACACCTTTTTATAGACCATGGACTGAACCAGCTGATATTAATTTGCAATAAGTGGCATGATTAGTTCCTAATTACTAACAGATTTCAGCCGGTGCCTTTTAGTACCTCCACTCTTTGTTCAGTATTTTTCCCCTGTGTCATTTCTCATTATAACGCGTAACATCGTTTGATTTCTTTGCATGTGTAGATGTCAATTGCACCTTCAGAGATACATTTAGTTACATTGGTGACACATTCAACACTTATTTTATCTGCTGTGTTTGAGACATATAAATGGAGTTACCCTGGGACTCTTCAACAGCAACACTGAGCTCAAAGTGCTGGCAGGGCATTTTCTCATCCACCTCATGCAGCTGGTTATAATGGGTCACAACCTTGGGTCAAATTTCAGGAAGAGAAATCGATCAGTCAAAAACGATTACACAGCCAAATGTAGGAACTGTCCTACTATTTAATTTAATTATCTCTAATGAGTTTTATTAATAATCATTCAGTGCATTTATACCTCAAGTATTCCCTGTCCGTTTCCTTGAGCTCTCACTTCCAAATCAAGGTTAGCAGGCAACTGTGCAACAAAAGCACCGCAGAAGAAGAAAAATATTGGACGATGATGTTATTACACTCAGTGATGTTCTTAAATCCCAAATCATCACAGTTCAAAGTTATGAAACTCCGCTACAAGCCTGGATTCTGTTTATATCTCTTTTAATGTCTCTCACCTTGGATGAGCGAGCACCATAGGCTGTCCTTGGGTTAAAATGGTAGCGGATGTCTCTGCGTCCAGTGATCCTGATGTCTACATCCAGACTGAGGTCATCAGGAGGAGGTCTCTTGATCATATACTCTGACAGTGCCTGAAGCACCACCATGGTGGACTGGAAGAGAAGAGAATGAAAAAACCTAACTGACAGCCTTCTGACAATTAAATCGGGCATGAAATATAATATCAACAAGTGAAATAAATATAAATATCCCTTAACTGACCTGAGTAGAGCCAAAGCCGCCTCCTCTTCTTCGCTGGCTGTTCAGCCATTTAAAGGCTGCTGCTGCTTCCTCCATGCGACCCAACTTAATAAGAGCCAGCAGGGCATAGCCGGTCGCCTCCAACGTGAAGAAGTGGTTTTCCCTGTCAGGCCAGTGGCTGCCACCTGCAGCAGCGACAGAATTAGAGGGATGTTTTACACTTATCCTCAGTGGCTCTTTGATACTATTTGAATGCCGGCTTTAAGAGCACACAGCTTTAGTCTGTACAGCAAAAGTGCAGTGATTAGGGCTATGTCATACCATACTGTCTGCCATAACATCAGTACAAACTTTTACGTGACTATAAAATAGTGTTATATGACAATATCAATGATATAGCAAGTAAACAGAATCCTGCTAGTAGACAGAAATTAGTTAAATTCAATTATATTGTATTTTATTTATGTAGCTCTAAACCACAACAGTTCCTTTCAGGTGAATACCTTATAATAATACAGAGAAAACAGTCAGATGACCCCCTAGGAGTGACTTGGCGACAGTGGGAAGGAAAACTCCCTTTTAACAGGCAGAAACCTCCAGCAGAGCCAGGCTTTTTGTTTTACTGATGCTTTGCATGATGATAAACCAGGACTTTAAGCAAGTTTTAGTTGCTTAAGGTACATTTACTCTGGTAACTCAAATGAAAACAAGAAAACAAAACAAATCAAATTAAAAAAAACAGAACTATAATCATTCTGATTGAGGATACCTCGGGCTGCAGCTTCGAGTAACGGTTGATGAACATTGTGAGGTGCCCCCGCAAGAGCCAGAGCATAAGAGGTGATGGCCACGGTGTACGGTCTCCTCCCATTTCTAGTCAGTGCATTGGTCAAGTACTGTGTCGTCTTACCCATGGCATTCTATACCACATGAGCGGGTAGATGATGGATTAGTATAATTACAATTACAACAACTGTTAAAGAGACATTGCTGTTTGTAACTTACCTCCATCTCCAAACCAGGAATGACGCAGGTGATCCCTGCCTGCTTGGCCTCAGCTAGTGCGATGTGGACAAAGGCGGTAAGTGTTATCTCTGGGTCATCGCCACGGAGACCGCCCTAGAGGTGATGAGAGGGAGAAGGGCTTTATCGCAGTTATCAAAGATTTTGGGCAGAAAGCACCTGAAGTAAATTTCCTGGTTCCTTTTTAGCACTTTTCTCTCCTACTGAGCACTCAAGGAGCTTAGACATCATTACCCAACGAACTTCTATCTAATATTTGTCGATGATACAATCTAACAGTGATGATCCGATGAACACATCAGAGGAACTCAGTTTCTTTCCAAAGGATGCTGTGCGTATTGCATGCAGACTGGAACAGTCCACCAACAACCATTCAGTTAGTAGAGGACCTGCTCTACCTTCTGAACTAGAAACTCTTTAAGGGGTTATTCAGTATTTGAGACCTTCATCATCTCTTTCTCCCATGCCTTGTAATTTTGTATTAAAACCATCAGAATAATTCAAGTATTTGATTATTTAGAATTTTAATCACTGAATAAAGTGTCTAAAATAATGGAAACTATTTTAAATGAGTCAAATAAAGTTGTTTGTTAGATTTTAAAAATGTACAAATGCTTAAAGTTAAAGAAAGAAAATATGTCTTTAGAAAATAATGGCATGCTACATGACAGCGTGCTTTTTCTGTTGATCATCAGCAGACAAAAGGATTATAAAGACTGGGCCTTTTTGTTGTATTTACATTCTACTTTCATAATAATCTCTTTCTTTTCAGTTTATTGATTTGATTTTGTTAGTCTTGGAAGTTATGATTGAATAATAAAGCAATCATTTTGAAAGGTGTAGTTTTTACTTCATATATGTGCCTGCATGTATTTTATCCATCTATCGTGTATATATCGTGTCATATATTGTGGTCATAAATATTTTGTACAATGTGAAAGGACCATAAAGCATAAAGCAGCTCCATAAAGCACCCCCCCCAATAGCCAAACCCATCTGTTCTCCGATTGGATTGTTAAATTTGTGATTGACATGACATTGGCAAATCAGATGAAAGGAAGAAAAATAGGGTCAAAATTTGTACTTGTAACTTGAAACTTGAGTGCAGAGTTTCACACATATTTTTTGGCCACACACAAATCTTTTTATACATACAAATCCTGATTTACAAGTACAAAATATTTATGACCACAATTTGAGCCCATATATCCTACCAACAGTACAGATTCAGACAACAATTAACACTGTAAGCGAGGGTACAACAGGCCATCTACCAATCAGAAGGTTGGTGGATTGACTCCCAGTTCTCCATAGGAGAATCCACGCTGTGGTTGAATCTCAGAGGGAACAATATAGTTTTTGCCTGGGTTATGGATCACAAGAACAGCTCTTTAATCTGTAAAGGATAAGGGATTCTGCCCAACCAGTCTACATCTTCTTGGAGATGCCTGGAGAAGGCATCAACCGTGTCTCTTAGGGGATCATGTAGGGAGCGCTGTGGGAGGATGGATATCTAACCTGTTGTGCCATCTGGTCATGAGCTCTGGGTCATGACTGAAAGAAAGAACGTCTCTGCTTAGACGACTGCCCACAAGACAGACGGACGGACGGATCAATAGACTGATGTTTATTTTCCAAGTTACAGTTTGACTGAATGGTTTACATTTGATAAACTTAGCTGTAATAGCTATCACAATGAAACAGCTTATTTTGTTATTACACATTTATTGCAATGAAAGTATTTATTTATTCTGTCGCACTCCATAAATTCTACTTTTCTGTGGCTGCACTGAATAAATTTGTCCTTTTTCACATCTGATTTTCAGTCATGTGTTCAGGCTGAGCGGTTATGCTCGTGAAGACGTGTAGTTATAATAATTAGTTTTGATAATTTACAGGAGAAACAATACAAGGACCAGGAAATGAAAACTTTTCTGTCTTTGAGTGGAAACCACATAGATTACCAACCTCACAGTGTGAGTGTGTGGCTGTATACGTGCATGTGGGTCTCACCGTCATGGTAGTGCTGTAAACGGGGTTGTCCTCTACATATATTCCTTTATTTTCTCTGAGTTTGTTCGTCACCAGGTAGACCAGAGGGTCGCACACTTGTTGCTTCTCAATGCCCATGATGGAGTGAGCCATGGAGAACACCTTTACCACATATGCTGTGATCCTGTCAATCACAATCTATGTCATATATACGATGTATCTAACAGAACAAATGTATTTATTTATTTATGAATCTCAAACTGATTTTCCTCACTGACTCACTTCTGTACAGTTTCGCACAGTAAAACTGAAATAAACATGTATTGTTTTTGTTATGTGACACATATAAGTAGGAAAATCACTAATAAAAATAATATTTTAGTGTTGTCATTAAAACTGAAATACTTGAAAGCTCTAAGAATGTAAGGATTCGTCAGTACCAGGTACTCGCTCCTTCCCTCCTGTAGGGCGGGTAAGAGCCGTCACGCCTTCTGTATGCCAGCTGATTGTCATAGCCTGAAAACACAAAAGAATTTCCCGTTTTAACAACAAAGACATAGACAATAACTACGTGTTCATATTCCAGCCTTTTGTGCCTAGTCAGAAAGTTTTTTGCAAACTGGTTTTAGATTTTGTTTTGCAAACCTCAGCTTTTATTGTAGAATTAAGCCATAGAAAATAATAAAAACAGTAAATCCCCCTTTCCTTCTTTTTGTTCTTCGCTTTTTGCTTTCGTCTCACCTCTCTTGATGTACTTGAGAGCCTCTGCCCTGCGCTGCACGCCTACGCTCTCCCAGTTGTCAGTTCGGTCTAAGTAGAGGGTGGCAATGAGGGGCAGAGTAATGGAGGCTAGGTTCTGCTCCACACAGCCACCAGGCATCCTGATCAGAGACCCCAGAGAGTCCTCGTTGATGGAGTTCTCAATGCTGTCTGCTAACACGCTGCCTAGTAGGGAAAAAGAAGTTTCATGAACAAGCCTCCTTCTTGGTTTCATTTGTGATCCTTCTCACCACTCTGACAGTTACTGACCTCTGACATTGATCAATGACTCAGGTTGAGAGTTTGGCACTACTGACTCCAGTTCAATCTTTCCGACACGGACTGTCTGCGTTCCTGTTTTGGATGCAAACGTATTGACACCGAATTAAAAATGAAGAGACTCAAAGGGAGCAGATATAAATGTAAAACCTCATAACTTTGGTAAACGTTAGACCCAGTTCCATAAAATCTAAATAAAAACAGAATGCAAAGATTTGCAAATGTCACAAAACCACATTTTATTCATAATAGAAAATATCAAAAGTGAAAATGCACCATTTTAAGGAAATTGTTATTTCATTTTGAATTTGATGGCTGCAACACAACACAGGACAGGGCTGTATTTATCGCTATGTAGCATCCCCTTTTCTTTTAACTACAGTCTGTAAAAGTCTGGTAACTGAGGAGACCAGTTGCTGAACTTTTGGGAGAGGAATGTTTTCCCGTTCTACATCCGAAATACCAGTCTGCAATGCTGGGATCCACATGGGCTGACCAACAACCCCAGTGCCAAACGATGGCACCTCTCTTTGGAGAGTTTTTCAGTCTATCCCAGACTCTAGCTGTTCAGTGGTCCTGGGTGTTGGATTTTTTGTTTCACGTGTGTTATAAACTGGTTAAAAGTAGTTGTGGGTTTAAAGAATCGATTTTCCTGATTCAAATCGATATCGATTCATCAAATCCAGAATCAATTTTTAAATATAAATATATTCTGCCAGAAATCGCTCCCAAAAGTATTTCAACAACCACCAAACAGCTAGTGTCAGCTTTGGTTTTATACATAGGCTAGATATAAAAACATGGATATGTCCTGATAAATGATCAGAATTATAACATTTCTGACTGTCTGAGTCAAATCAAATCGGGACCTTGTGAATCAGAATCAAAGCAGTTATAGAAATCGATACCCGATAAGCGTCTTTTGAATGAGGTTTGGCACAGAGAAGATGAGGCAGGAAC